CCCCTTCCCCTTCCCCTTCCCTTCATTTTTGATGGGTCTGACATCTAGTTCGCAAAAAAGGAATTAATGAGAAAACTGTACCTGAAATCCCTGTGCTCTTCTTACAGGGGACCCCTGGCCCACCAGGAGACCCTGGTCTGACTGTAAGTAGCCTGTAGCACTTTTCTTCCTGGGACAGTCCTGGCTTTGCCATGCACTGCCTGAGAATGAAACAGGGCATCAGGTCCTGCTGCTGCCTGCGGCTTCCCATGGGAGCCATGGAAAGAGGGGAGAGAGATGGCTGAGTGGGAAGGGAAAGATGAGCCTTTTCCTTACAGGGGGCAGAGGGAAGCATTCACCCTGAACCCTTTTTCTGGCAGGACTGCGACGTGATGACCTACGTGCGAGAGACATGTGGATGCTGTGGTGAGCAGACTATCACTTCTCCCCAGGGAAGGGATGACCACTTGAGGGAGAGGGAAAGGGGTCACCTCATGCTTCTGCCCTATGACCCAGCCTTTGCATTGAGCTGCGGGCTGTGGAAACTTGATGTGCTCCTCTTCCTCCCTGCTCAAAGGAAGGAGAAACAGTTCCAGCATGGAGCACATCTTGGTCTCCATCTTCCCATAGATGATCTCTTCTGCCCTGGTGGCACTTGTTCCAACCATCATTGACCTTTGTGTTTTCCTCCTTCTGCCTCTCTCTCCAGACTGTGAGAAGCGCTGTGGTGCCCTAGACATCATGTTTGTCATAGACAGCTCTGAGAGTATTGGATACACCAACTTCACCCTGGAGAAGAATTTTGTTGTCAATGTGGTCAGCAGGCTGGGCTCTATTGCCAAGGATCCCAAGTCACAGACAGGTCTGCACTGTGTGTAGACAGAGTGGGGCGTGGGGATCTTGGGTCTTGGATCTTGGATGTTTATTTTCCATGGCTTTTCAGGCCAGTTGGGCAGCTCTTTGACTTTCTCCACTTTTCACTGAGGATGCAAAGCCAAGTAATGTGGTGCTTTACTGGCAGGTGCCCGTGTTGGGGTGGTGCAGTACAGTCATGAGGGGACCTTTGAAGCCATCAAGCTTGATGATGAGCGCATTGATTCCCTGTCAAGCTTCAAGGAAGCAGTGAAGCGCCTGGAGTGGATCGCTGGAGGTACCTGGACACCATCTGCCCTTCAATTTGCCTACAACAAGCTCATCAAGGAAAGCAGGAGAGAGAAAGCCCAAGTGTTTGCTGTGGTGATCACGGATGGGCGCTATGACCCCCGGGATGATGACAAGAACCTAGGAGCTCTTTGTGGTAGAGATGTGGTCGTCAACACCATCGGCATTGGAGACATGTTTGACCAGCCAGAACAGAGTGAGACACTGGTCTCCATTGCCTGCAATGAGCCTCAGCGAGTCCAGAAGATGAGGCTCTTCTCAGACCTGGTGGCAGAGGAATTCATTGACAAGATGGAGGACGTGCTCTGCCCAGGTCTGTACCTGTCCTTGCTTGGTTCTTACTGGAACTGGAGTTCTGAGCCCCAGGGTTTGGGGTGGGGGCACATATATGATTGCAGAGACACGGTGTCCCAGCAGGTTAGCCAGTAGCTGGGTCATTCATGGTGGGAGGCTGACCTTCACGTAGCCCTGAATTAAGAGTTCTTCCTCAGATAAGGGGCAGCCTTTTGGGGCAGTCCTTTGCAGTCTCTTGTAAGAGACCTTGTCCTGCCACTCTGACTGTGCAAACTTTGTAAGGCGATGGCAGCACATCACTCAATTTTCCTTGTTTCTTTTTCTTCCAGATCCACAGGTTGTCTGCCCTGAGCTGCCCTGTCAGACAGGTAACCATTACAAGTAGCTTCATGCCATCTGCACAGCATCTAGGGGGAGAGTGCACGAAGCTCAGGAGTGGGAGGAGGGGATGCAGCCCTGTTCATTCCTCTGGATGGCAGGAGTTTGGGAAATAGTGTTGCTTTACATGAGGAGAGGACTCCAGGGTTTCATCTCCTGCTCTTTTCCTGTCTCCCTGAGTTCTCTACACAGGTAGGTACAAGTGCACTGTGTGAGTGTACTAGTATGGCTCAGCCCTGATACTATTCCCTGTCCAAATTCCTGGGAGCTACCAGGTTTTGATCTCCAAACTCAAGTCAACCCCTCCTTGCTAAACAATCCTACTCATGTGACCTTTGTAGGAGGATTCTCCTTGGGAGTGACAAGGGCAGAGCAGTAGGCAGGGATCGTTTGGAAAATGGCAACGTAGTGGGCCCAAGGCTTTGGCTTCTCTAACACTGGCTGTATTTAATTAACTATTTAATTAACACTCAGGGTGTTGGATTAAAGGAAAAAGCTATAAGGATCCTGTGGGATCAAGGAGACAGCTGCTGTGTGCTGCAGGTAGCTTGACTTGTCATGTTTTGCTTGTTTAAGGGGTAGATATGCATCCCAAATTCATAGAATCATAGAATTGAGGGGTTGGAATGGTCCCAACCCCCTGCCCTGGGCATTGACACCTCTTCACTAGATCAGGTTGCTCAAGGCCTCATCCAGCCTGGCCTTGAACACTGCCAGGGTCAGGGCAGCCACC